TTTTTTTTTTAATGTTTATTTATTTTATTTTGAGAGAGAGAGAGAGAGCAAGCACACATGTACATACATGTGGGTGGGAGACGGGCAGAAAGAGAAAGGGACAGAAAATCCCAAGCCGGCTTCCCTTTCAGCATGGAGCCCAACATGGGGCTTGATCTCACGACCCTGGGATCAGGACCTGAGCCGATATCCTGAGTCGGATGCTTAACTGAATCACTCAGGTACCTCCTAAATTATGTCTTTAACTGATTCCTTTGAGCTACAGGAATGGGAGGTATATATATATATGTGATAGTACTTGATTTATATTTTCTATAAGCAATAAAAATTCCAAAAATTTTTCAAAAATTATGAAAAAAAGCAAACTTACAACACTTGTAAGCTCGAAGTGAAATAAAATACAATGTACTGAAATGAACTAAAATTTATAAGTAACAGCAATTCATTTTACTTATGACCAATACATTCCTGCTCTTACCTCAGTTGTCACAGAAAGAACAATGACCCATGGACATAAGAGAAGCACAGAAACAAGATGGGATAAAGCTTGAAGACGCTTGGCTCCACCAACATCTATAGAGAGTTTTCTGGATGCTGTATGAAAACCAACTTTACAACACAAAGCCAGTACTAGCAATAATACTCCACCCTATAAATAAAATGACATAAGTTTGATTAGAAACACACGGTTCACTCAATCCTTCAATACATAGTATTGGAAGAAATGGAACTATTATGTTTTTTCCATATCCTAAATTACCGAACTACTTAAATGTCAGGCAGTACTGTAAATTACTGATAACTTACTTTAATGCACTTTTAAAGTTACAGTTGTGGTAATTTTTCAAAATCTCTTGATTATGTTAGGAACAAAGAAAAGAACATACCTTGTGATCTGCCACACCTAAGAAGGCAATGGCTGTGTAAAGCATGTGAGTTAGAGCGCTGTCATGATGTCCTTCAGCTAAGTGAGTTGCAGTAAAGGAAGAAAAACCCCAAATATTAACTCTTTGAATTCTGAAGTCCTCCTAAAATTTTAGCTACATTATTTTGGGTTGACTAGAGACTAGTTTGGGAACCCCAAACCTGACTACCTGCAACAATATATTGCCCTTAAAAACAAAACAATTAAATAGTTAATTTTGGGACATAATTTATAAATTGGAATGGCTTGTATTTTTGTTGTCTCCAAAACAATTATAATAGTGCTTGAGATACAGTTGTTAAATTTCAGGAGTTAACCTTCAAAAGTATATGCATGCATACTATGAGTAGGGCAAAGGGATAAGGCCAAGGAACATTTTGGACCATTCCTACCAAGGAATTAAGGTTGCTCTTTCAGAACAAGAGGTCGAATCAATCCTAAATCTATTTCTAAATCACTGACCACGTAAGCCTCAGTAAAGCAGCAAGTAGAAAGGGTTGGTGGGGCGGAGACATATCACAAGCAATGTGGAGTTTTGCAGTCATGCCACCCTCTTTCAGTCTAAGAAAGTAAATTGTTGTTTAAGTAACAGGCTCTAGAACAGTATCAGTAACCAGAAGAATTAAAACTGGTGTTCCAAGTTCTGCTAAGTGGAGCGGGCAAAGGGGTATGGACAGGCAGGAACAGGGCATGTCTGTTTGTAGAGGAAAAGGGGTATACTTGTTTGACTGCAAAGTTGGGGTTATAGAAGAGTAGAAGCTGAACTGGAAATAACAGTTTAGAGCAAGAGAGTGATTACCAGGTTAAGGAATTTCAACTTTTTCTTTTCGGCAAGAAGATGCCAAAGATTTTTCATTAAATTTCAAAAAAAAGTTTATATTTAATAATTGCAACTGACTTCTAAATCAAGTATTTGAATTGTTAAATTTGGTACAAGGGAGCCAACAGATTGATTTTGTTGACTGGCAAATCCTTTTTTTTTGTTTTGTTTTAAGCACCAGGACATTCTAAAATATTCTTTCACTGTCTCTGTAGAATATATTGATTAGGACGCCATAAAATATTTAATTTAGAATAAATTTACTCATTATTTGAATACCTACATTAACTCATGGAAGTTTCATTCATGACTGATCAGTTTAATTCAATCCTCCTTGTCCCATTCTGCCAGTTTCCTATTTTCAAGACTATATAATTCCAATCTATTGCAAAAGGATACGGTGTTCAGCCATTTTAGCCATGAGATCATCATTGTCGAAAAGCAATAGGCAGATCACAGCAATAATGAAAAAAGCAGCCCCTCTTGTCTGAAAATGAAGAAAATATTACTTAGGATGACTATTTTAAGAGTTGATTTTTAAGACCATGACTATACAAATACTAAAGAAAAATTGTTTTCAAATAAATATGTGAAGAAAAAATAACATCTGACATTAAAGCCCTTCTACTATATAACATAAATAAGCAGTATTAACAGATAAAAAAAGCAAAGAGCTACAACAAATTCTGCAGAATAGTTTAAGGGCATTTAAGGCACATAATAATGATGACTTCAACTGTCTCCTTGTTCATAGGACTAGGCATGTTACCATGCACAAACCATTTATGTTTGCAGAATTAATATCCCTAAATGTTATTTTGCTTCGGGTTGAAAAGCTCAAGAAGCTACAGAATTATTAGCATGAACTAACTTTATTCTACAACATGCAAGTGATAGACAGTTAATTTACAGTTAATTATTGATAATAATATCAATATTCTAGTTATGACTCTTCTATGGAAACAGAACTAAGAGGGCACATTAAGAAAATTGGCAGTCATTTCTCATATCCAGTAAAGGTGCAGAGCATTTAAAAGCTGATAAATTTTTAAATTTTATATTCTCATTCCAGGGAAAGGATTTTGATGAAAAAAAAAAATCATAGGAGGAACATACTGCCTAGTTTATGCAAATACTTCAGAATTTTGGGTATAAAAGCCATCCAAAAACATTATTATACATCCAAATGCATTATTATACATTCTGTATTTATAAATTTATAGGTGTACTACCATACACCTTCATTAAATAAAAGTTAAAATTTAAAGTGAGAGTCCTATTCATTAATGTGATCACCACTATACTTGATAAATTCTCTTAGAGTGGTGGATATTTTGACAAAAGTCAATACATATAAACCACACAATATCAACAATACCCAGCTATGGAGAATGTAATTTAATCTTTTGTCAAAGACAGCAAATTAAATTTTGTAGTGCTTCAGTCACAGCTAAGAAAAAAACCCTGCTGGTGGATAGATGCCCAGATTTGTAACACACTAATGAGAAAATATATATGATTTATACTCTCATTTCTGAGTCTAACTGCAACAAATTTTTTGTTTTTAAGTCATTTTTATTTCTTTCTTAAAAAACATTTAGTGTGTGTGTGTGTGTGTGTGTGTGTGTGTGAGAGAGAGAGAGAGAGAGAGAGAGAGAGAGAGTGAGAGAGAGAATCTCAAGCTGGCTCCATGTTGTCAGTGCAGAACCTGATGTGGGGCTCAACCTCACATCATGAGACTGAGATCATGATGGGAGCTGAAATCAATAGTCAGATGCTCAACTGACTGAGGCATCCAGGTGCCCCTAAAGTCAGTTGTATTTCTTTTGTGAGTTGTCTTTCCCCGCCCTTGGATCATTTTTACTGAGAATCTTAAGCATTTTTCTTAACTTACTTGAGTGATTTATATTTTAAAAGAAATGTAAAACTTTTACTTGTGGTAATTTTTGTTGTTATTGTTAGTTTGTTGTCTGCACAATGACTTCTGTTACATAGAAGGTTATAATCATAATGAAATCAAATTTACTGAGTTTTCCCATTGTGATTTTTTCCCACTGCTTTTATGCTCAGAAGGTTTTCTCCTCATAATTTATTTTTATTTTACATATATTTATTTTATATATTATACATGTTTATATTATTCTGTATGTTATATATTTATATTATTTAATACATTTTACATATTTTAATTCTACATTTATTTTATTATATGTTTGTGTCCACAAAACTCTTCAATCCACTTGACATTTTTTTATTTTTAAATATTTATTTATTTAAAATAATGAGAGAGAGAGAGAGAGAGAGAAAACCATGAGGTGGAGGGCAGAGAGAATGGAGCCAGAATCAAAGCGGGCTCTGGGCTCAACTATCAACACAAGAATGGGCAGAGTGGGGCTTGAACTCACAAAACTGTGAGATCATGACCTGAGCTGAAGTCGGACAATTAACCAACTGAGCCACTCAGGTGCTCCACTTGACATTTATTACGGCGTAGTATATGAATGGGATCAAAGAAAGAGTGGCATACAGGGTACGCCTGGGTGGATCAGTCAGTTAAGCAACTAACTCTTGATTTCAGCTCAGGTCATGATCTCATGGTTTGTGAATTCGAGCCCCTTGTTGGGCTCTGTACTGATGGCACAGAGCCTGCTTGGGATTCTCTCTCTGCCCCTCTATCTCTACCCCTCTCCTGCTCACACTCTCTTTCTCTCAAAATAAAATAAACATTGAAAGAAAAAAAATATTGGCATATGCTTTAATATTAATGATCCTATTTGAAATCTATGGGCTGGGTAGTCTCTCTGCTCTCCTTGGCATATTACTTTGTTCACTTAATTTTATTCATGTGCCTCCAATACTCGGCTTGAAACAGCTCCTTTTAGGACACGGACTCCTGTAACTGGGACAATGTACCATGCACAGAAAGCATTCAATTTGGTAAAACAGAAATACTGTAGTTTTAAGAATTTGGAATTGCAGATTTATGACTCATTTACCAAAGAAGGATAATTCTTAAGTTATTTAAGATAAAGAAGGCTTCTGGGGTACCTTCAGTAGGTTAAATGTCTGACTCTCGATTTAAGGGTTGTGAGACTGAGCCCTGAGTAGGTCTCTGCACTGAGTGTATAGCCTACTTAAGATTCTCTTCCAAGCCTTCTACCCTTCTCCCGCTCATGTGTGCACTCTCAAAAAAAAAAAAAAAAAAAAAAAAAAAAAAAAAAAAAAAAAAAATAAATAAAGCTGCCTAGTTGGCAAAATGCTCATTAGACTTTGTAAGAAGTTCTTAGGTATTTTCCAAAAATGACGAATAAGGGTTAAAAATGAGGTGTGCGAGGGGTACCTGAGTGGCTCAGGTGGTTAAGCAGCTGACTCCTGATTTTGGCTCAGGTCATGATCTCATGGTTCGTGAGATCGAGCACCGGGTTGGGCTCTGCACTGACAGTTCAGTGCCTGCTTCTCGCTCCCTCTCTCTCTCTGCCCCTCCTTTGCTCTTTTTCTCTCAAAATTAATTAAAAAAAAAAAAAAAAAAGAAAGAAGAAAGAATAAGGTGGGTGACAGGCTTGGCTACAGCATGATGGAGATTTTTGTGGTGATCAAACAGTTCTGAATCTTGATAAGGTCTATGGATTATATCAATGTCAATTTCTTGGTTTCCATAGTGTGTTTGAGTTGGGTAAGAAGTTACCACTGAAACTGAGTGAAGGGTGCTCTTCGTGCTCTTTTTGCCAGTTTCTGGGAACATATGATGATTTTGGAATAAAAAGTAAAAAAAGTTTGTAAGAAAAAGTTAAAATTAGCAGAAAAAGCCCCTGAATTCTTTTATTTATTTATTTTTGAGAGAGAGAAAGTGTGTGGGCAAGCATGGGGGGAGGGGCGGAAAGAGAGGAAGAGAGAGAGAGAGACTCCCAAGCAGGCTTCCAGCTGTCAGTGAGGAGACCAATGTGGGGCTCGAACTTACGAACTGTGAGATCATGATCTGAGCGAAATCAAGAGTCAGTGCTTAACCCACTGAGTCAGCCAGGCGCCCCCACCCTTACATTCTTTTAAATGCTAAAAGATATTATTTAATTGCTTTAGTTAATACTTTACACGTATACTTTCAATTTTCAAGTAACTAATAAAAGAAAATTGTACCTTTGCTGGTCCTCCTCCAGAACTAGTGAACAAAACACTGAGTAGTGAGATGACAACAATATCACTGTGTTCAAATAGCAACAAAGTCCTAGAAAAATACAAAAACATGATCATTCACATAAAATATATCTGATCTTTACCAAGAAGTATGAATTCAACAAGAGTAAGAGAAAATAAGTATTTCTTCCTGATTTCATAAAACACTGAGAAAAATAAATAGGTACAAATGCTTTAGAATTAGCTACCTTTTGGCATTATCTACCCGGTAATACTACTTGCATGATTATATCACAACAATTTCTTGTGTACGTGTGCCAGGAAACACTTAGAAGGTTGCTCATACCAGCTTTGTTTGCAGTAGCCTCAACTTAATGCTACTGGTAAGAGAAAAATATAAATTAGAGTGTATCTATTCAATGGACTATTTTACAACAGTAAAAAATGAATTAAATTATATGAATATATTAAGAAATGGTGAATACTACACTTTAAATGTGTTATAGACTGCATGTTTGCATCCCCTCTAATTTTATATGCTGAACTCAATCCCCAGTGTGAACCCCCTCATGAATGGAATTAAAGCCCTCATATAAAAGACGATAGAGCGCTCCCTTTGCCCCTTCTGCCATGTGAGGTTACAGAGAAACCAGGAAGCAGTGCCTCACCAGACAGTGAATCTGCCTCACCTTGATCTGAGACTTGCCAGTTTCCAGAACTGTGAGAAGTAAATTTGTGCTGTTTAAAAGCTACCCAGTCTTTGGTATTTTTGTTATAGCAGCCCAAATGGACAAAGAAAAAAGGAATGAATCTTAAGGTATGTGAATCTTATATTTAAAAATTGCCATAAAAATGAACTATATATATATATAACATGCATCAAGATGGGCAAGTCTCAAACATAAATTTAAATGCAAAAAAGTACACTGTAGAACATACACACAAAATCATCTATGTACATAAAGTAAAAAACTTGTAAACATTAAAAAAAAACCACAATTAAACATTAAAAAAAAAAAAAAGACTTAGGTACATATGTGAAAAAACTATAAAGGAAATCAAGAAAATGAAAAACAAAACTTAAGATGCTGACTACACCCAAGGGTAAGGGGAGATGGGGATACAGTCAGGAGGGAAACACCAGCATTCAAAGGCATTGGTAAGATAGGTATTTTTTTTTTTTTTAAAGTTTATTTCAAGACAGAGAGAAAGCAGACAAGGGCAGAGAGAGGGGGAGACAGAAAATATCAAGCAGGCTTTGAACTATCAGCACAGAGCCTGATGTAGGGCTCGAACTTACAAACCATGAGATCATGACCTGAGCTGAAATCAAGGGTCAGACGCTTAACTGACTGAGCCACCCAGGATCCCCATATATATACATGTGTTATATACACATATACAGATATATATATACATTTTTTTTTTTTTTTTTTTTTTTTTTTTTTTTAGAGAGAGAGAATGCACAAGTGAGCATGCGGTATAGGGGAGGGGCAGCAGGAGGGAGAGAGAGAATCTTATGCAGGCTCAACACTGAGGAGCCCCATGTGGGGCTTGATCCCACAACTGTGAGATCATGACCTGAGTCAAAATCAAGAGTCACTACCCTTAACTGACTGAACCAACCAGGTGCCCCCAAGTATTGGTAAGATTTTATTTGGGGGACTGGATGTTGGATACGTAAATGTTCACTATTATTAAACATATTTCCTCTCTTATCTGTGTGAAATATTTTAAAAACTTGAAAAACTATCACCAGCAAAAACAGGGCTTATAGGATCTAAATAGTAAGATTTTCAGCTGCTCTTTTAACACATTTTCATTTTTTCTCTTTACTCAAAAATCTGTAATACAGAACACAGCAATACTAACTTTAATTCTATTAATGATTATGAGGTACAACTTAAGAAAATAAATATATCAAAAGAGTAATACCACCTGAAATGAGACAGGCTATGGAACACCAAAGAGGTCTTTTTTATTTGAGAGAGAGACAGTATGTGTGTGTGTACATGTGCATGAGGGAGAGCAGCAGAGGGAAAGAGAGAGAATCCTACGCTGGCTCCACAGGAAACATGGAGCCCACTGCAGGGCTTGATCCCATAATCCTGGGATCATGCCCTGAGCTGAAATCCTGAGTCAGAAGCTCAACCGAATGAGCCACCCAAGCACAACTCCACAAAGTCTTTCTAGTCAAGAAACTGCATGATAGTTTTTATTTTTTAAAACTTAAGTAGGCTCCATGCCCAACATGGGGCCTGAACTCACCACTTTGAGATAAAAGAGTTGCATGCTCTACCGACTGAGCCATCCAGGCACCCTGCACGATGGTTTTAATAAAAGAATGAGAGGGGCAGTGTTGGCACAGGAGCTGGCAGTGAGGGATTTTAAGGGTAGGAAGTAGAGGACTAAATAAGGAGTCAAGTAAGAATTTAACAATTTTCCCCTTCTTTCCCTACCCTAATATGTGGGGACAGTGATTTAATAACATACAGAACAAAACATAATTTCATGGAAAAGAAACTTAAAATATTAGAGATGATAATACTGTTAATCATATTCAAGCATAAAGTGAAAAAGCTCTCCCAAGCTGAGAAAATCCAGCTGCCTTACCTACCATTCCAGGATGCTGCTGCTGTCATGGACAAGGACATGACATCTGGAATTATGTATACCCTGCATCTGACGAAGTACACGGTAAACAAGCTAAAGGGACTCAAACCTGGAAGCTATTCTATTAGCCAAAAGAGGGGAAAGGATTTTCACAAAGCATTTTCCACCTATCATTTTTACTCTGTCTACCCCATTATTCTGAGTGAGATTCTTTAAAATATCCTTAATTTTATTCCTTTCCTCTCATCATCATACCCCCCTCCTCCCAACAATGGCCAGGTACTTTTTCTTATACTTTCAATCAATAAGTAAAACCCTTTAGCTACAGAGAAGCATTAAAAATGTTTATGCAGATATGTACGTTACAATTCCTATTAAGTGGCCCTTAAACACCACCCCCCACCCCCGGGAATTGGTCCATTACACAAAAAGATTGCTCTATATAGATCTAGGGGAATATGAGAGTTAACTCATCTTTAATCTGATGACTGACACACTGTTGTCAAGACATTTGTTTATGACCATATTTTTTAAGAATTTTCTGTTGGTAAGAGTATTTCAGAGTAGTGAAGAAAAAAGTGTTTAAATAAAGATTTTGCTCTTGTACTGGTTGATTTTATTTACCACTTCAGACCTTTTAGTTTCTAAAATCAGTTGCTAAAAGGGATCACCAAGGGATGATAAAAAGCCACCTATGCTAAAACTTTTCTGAAACTGGATTTAAAAAAAATTTTAATGTTTATTTCTGAGAGACAAAGGGCAAGCAGGGGAGGGACAGAGAGAGAGAGACACACAATCTGAAGCAGGCTCCTCTGAGCTGTCAGCACAGAGCCTGACAAAGAGCTCAAACTGACAAGCCATGAGAGCATGAACTGAGCCAGTCAGACGCCTAACTAAGCCACCCAGGCGCCCCTGAAACTAGATTCTTAACTATTAAAATATCATGACAGATCATGAACAATACATTAATGGTGTTCACCAAAAGCTAGACCACAAATTCAACAGGTTCTCTCCTTCCCTCCCTCTCTCCCCCACTCTATATGTTGAATTGTATCCAATGCTATACAAGTGATAGAAGCATTTGCACATAACATAAGCATTTGATATTATATATAATGGAAGAAAACTAATATTCAAAATTAAGAAACACAAACAAACATTCAAAATATGCACTTTTACCTTAGTGGTCCACAAAGAGTGAGGCCAAAAAACCACAAGAGTGAAATGATACACCCAGCAACTGCATGCTTAAATATTTTGATCCACTATAAATGGAAACAAAAAGTTAAAAATTTTACTCATGTATGTTTTGCTATTATCTCAAAGTCTTAAACAAAACACATAGGGAAAGAAAATAATGGTAGCACTTTAATATTTTAAAGGCTAAATAATTACGTATCTTGAAATTAAATAGAAAATGTTAAGATCCTTTGACTAAATCTAGATTTGTAAGACAGTAGTCTGTTTTCCATTTTCTATATTCTCATCTGTTGTTAGATTTTGAGATCTTTTTCTATAGAGTATAATTTTTTTTTTCCATTAGTTTCTCATTACTTTGCTAGGAACATGTATTGTTTTAGTCTTTAAATTCTTTTCTAGAGATATTCAGAGCTTTAATTACTTCAAAAGAGAAAAAAAGTTATGATGGGGTTTAAAATATTAATCCCATTTTTAAAACATGCATGGTCTCTAAGAGAGAGGTACCTACATTTGTCATTTTAATAAAAACTTGCAGTACAAGTTTCTAAGTTGTGGCATACAGCAAACACGTAGTAGGATATACCTCTACTGTCCAAAGAGGTGATAATATGAGGTGACTATGCAAAATGCAGGACATTTCTGCTATGTATCCTGAACTTCAGGGGTCTATAGAAAATAATAATGAAGATGAGAGTAACAGCTAATACTTACTGCATAGTCACTATATCCCAGGCACTACTTCAAGAACTTTATATGTATTAATTCATTTATTCCTCACAGCTTCATTACAATGGTATTATTAACTCCATTTCATAGGTGAAAATATTAAGGTAGAAATTAATTAACTTGTTCAAAGTAAAAGTTTGTAAGGACAGACAGAATATGCATCTGTCTGCCTCCAGAAGCCTCATTCTTAACCCCTATGCTTTATCTGCCTCCTCATGACACTTGTACTAGGCTCTTGGGTATGTCTCCATGTCTCATTCATAAATCTTTCAGAATAAGGATACTGCATTACAAAAAAAGTACTGTATACCTTAATGTTTTTCTACTTTCTTCTTCATATTTTTTTTTACCCTATGACCCAGCAATAGCACTGCTAGGAATTTACCCAAGGGATACAGGAGTACTGATGCATAGGGGCACTTGTACCCCAATGTTTATAGCAGCACTCTCAACAATAGCCAAATTATGGAAAGAGCCTAACTGTCCATCAACTGATGAATGGATAAAGAAATTGTGGTTCATATACACAATGGAGTACTACACGGCAATGAGAAAGAACGAAATATGGCCCTTTGTAGCAACGTGGATGGAACTGGAGAGTGTGATGCTAAGTGAAATAAGTCACACAGAGAAAGACAGATACCATATGGTTTCACTCTCATGTGGATCCTGAGAAACTTAACAGAAACCCATGGGGGAGGGGAAGCAAAAAAAAAAAGAGGTTAGAGTGGGAGACAGCCAAAGCATAAGAGACTCTTAAAAAATGAGAACAAACTGAGGGTTGATGGGCGTGGGAGGGAGGGGAGGGTGGGTGATGGGTATTGAGAAGGGCACCTTTTGGGATGAGCACTGGGTGTTGTATGGAAACCAATTTGACAATAAATTTCATATATTGAAAAAAAAAAAAGATTTTATTTTTAAGTAATCTCTACACCTAGCATGGGGCTCGAACCCAGAACCCGGAAATCAAGAGTCACACATTCTACGGACTGAGCCAGCCAGGTACTACCCTCTTCTGCATGTTTAAACATTCTGTAATCTTAACACTTTAGTTTACTCTTAAAGCCTCAATACTGAAAGACAAATCAAGACCAAGTTAACTCTGGAAATAATCTGCTGTGTACTGAAGTCATTTTTTAAGTAACCATGCTCAAAGAAAGGGCACTGTCTCTTGGCCCGCTAACTAGGAAGCTGCTAGGAAAAAAGAATTGTGCAAAAAACTCACCTGGTGTTTGGTAATACTTTTCCCAGAAGAAAATGGCTTTTGAAACAAAACCATAAAAAATGCAGTTCTGTGGATATTGAAACATTAATATATTAATATTTGTCTTATATACAAGGTGTAATCTTAAGATATTTATCTTAAACAAATACACTAGAACTTGAAAGGTATGTTACCCTCTAAAAATTATACTGGAGAACAATATTTATTCAAATAAAGCTTCCACTGCAACATTTTGGGGAATGCTTATTTTGTAATTATCTTCAGAACCAATTCACAAGCCACAAAAGGAGTCTCAGTGTTTTTTCATACTGGGAAATACCAAAAAAAAAAAAAAAAAAAATCTATCTTCTCCAAAATTTAATAACAAATCTTGAAATAAAAGAAATGAAGAAAGTACTTATTGTATGTCTTTAGGTTTCACATTCCCAAAATGATTATATAAAAATGCATACAACTGCTTAAAATTTCCTAGTAAAGAATCACTTTCCATAATTACTAAAATTAACTCCCAGGAGTCTTTAATAATAGACTGTTATTAACAGAAAGTGTCACTATCAATCTCAAGATCTAGAGAAACTTTATTTACAGAGAATTTCTTGCAATATGCAGAATAATGTAAATTTATATTATATGAGGACCCTGTAGTGTGAAGGGAACATATAATGAACAAAACCCAGCACAGATTAACTTAGAAAATAAGGAACATCTGTGCCAAGACAAGTCTCAGGTAACATTCTACCTGCTGGAATGCTGAACTACACCAGTGGTATGGTCTGGTGACTCTTTTAGGGAAACTGTAGCATCAAAACTACTTTTACAAAAATTCTAACAAATTATCTGCTCTTTTCACTTTTATGCTCTCAGGGGTATACAGTGGAGCTCTTCAGAGGTTAACTGATAAAAGAGATCCTGCAACAGACTGAATGCTGAAACAGATATGAGAACTTAGCAATCTTCTATTAAGCTGGACATTAAAAGAAATCTACAAAAACTTCATTAATGCAAAGTACAGTATAAGTCTAGTTTTGGCAAGCTATTACAGTACAATAATCATTTAAACAATTCTCTTTGTACCTCTAACCTTAGGTATTCTATTTTTTTATTAAATTATCATACATTAGTGAGGAGGGATAAATAGCACAATATATTCTATCTAAAATTTCTTAAAGATACTCAGTTAAAACAGGAGTTTCAAATAAATAAAACATAAGGAAAACGGAATCACACACACTCACCCAAGTTTTAATATAAAAATGAACTGAACAATATGAACTGCTTTTAGGAGATCGTATGATTCAAAAAGTCCCACAGCCTTCAAAAATTTAGTCAAACATAGTAACACAATATATTTTGTTAATCTGAAAAATAAAAGCAGAAACAAGTTTCAGTATCATTAAAATCACAAGGAACTCTGTCATCTGTTCTTTTCTTATTATACAAGTATTGGAATCATTATAAAAACCTCAGATATTCATTAAAAACATCAAACAAAAGCCCAAACAACTCACCATCTACATAACTACTATTAATATTTTGGTATATATACTTGCAGATTATGTTCTTTTTAATGTTTATTTATTTATTTTGATGGAGGAGGGAGGGGCACAGAAAGAGGGAGAGAATTCCAAGTGGGCTCTGTGTTCTCAGTGTGGAGCCTGACTCAGGGCTCGACCCCATGAACTGTGAGATCCTGACCTGTGCAGAAATCAAGAGATGGTCTCTTAACGAACTGAGCTGCTCAGGTGCCCCCAGATTCTTTTCAATGTATAGACCATGTGTCTATGTATATGTGTGTATGTGTGTGTATAGTCTGTTGAAAAACAGACACCAAACTCTACCTGCAATGAAACTAGAAGAGCACACTGTAGGAAGAAACAGAGGAATGGTAAATGCCTTAGATTTACCCCTCCTCTGCTTTGCTATGTGGCTGCAGTGAAAGTCATGGTTGAAAAGTCAAACAACCTGCCCTACAGAGTCTTGTAAAGGCTCAGGAATCTGAAGCACCTGAGAAAGGCCTGGGGAGTTAAAAAGAGAAGCATCAAGAAGTCTTCCAAGTAGTTAGATCCCCACATTTTCACCCAGCAGAGCCAGGCAACTACCTCTCCTCAATCATGACAGGACAGATGAGGCTTAGCTTCTGGAGACGTCTAGACAAAAGGCAAAGAGAGGAGGCATGAAGTGCTAGAATAAAACCATGGAAATTAAAGGAAGTTTCTTAACACCACCCCACCTCCCTTTCCTCTTCTACCTCCAATATTCTAACGGCTGGGCTGCAATCTCCCAGCAGAACCCTTCTAGGGATCCACTAGGGTTACGCCTCACACAGGTATTCATTCTAATTAGCTTTTTAGCCCTCACTCAAATATGAATAGCAAACATAGATAATCAATTTTTAAGATAAGCTTATGAAAGGCCAAACAAACAGAAACAACAAATTTAACAGATAAAGATATTACAGGTAATAGCAGAAAACAACAAAGAATAATAAATAATATTCTCTGAGATATAAGAAAGAATATTGCACGCATGAAAAAATTAGCTGCCATAAAAAAAAAGAAAAAAGGAGCTCTTGAAAAAGAAACTAAAATTAGGGAAGAAATTACTTCAGTTTTCTAGCCTAGTAGTTTTCTTAGAACAAAACCATTATTCTTTGAATGAAACCCATTATCTGTGTGTACATTGTAACCGTGTAATATTGAACCGTGAACACTGTAATAATGAACATTATAAAACATACACAAATTAGAAATAAAAAAGAAATAAAAAGTTGAGAAATTTAATATTTTTTCCTTCACCCTAATAGGAGATCTTGTGTAAGTAATACTCAGGAGACCACTTTTTAAGTTTACATCAAACAGGTGTTAGTACATTAAAAAGTAGGTGTAAGGGATGTCCAAGGCCAGCACACTGGCAGAGATGAGAAGTCTCTACCAATGGGAGAAAAAATTCAAAAAGCAAACAGAATTTTAAAAGAAACCTAAGTCACTCAGAGTTAAAATAATCTGACATCAATGGGGATATCAATGTATATAGGACAGTATAAAACTTGATGAATGTGAATAATCAAGTGCCATGGCAGTGAATTAACATGAAAGAGCTGAACTACACTAAACAAACAGTAATCTGATTAAGAAGGCATGAAAATATAGATTTTAGGAAGATTTTGATGCAATTATTAAAATAAATTTTAGTCCTTGAAAGAATGAATCTCAGCATCTTCACCAGCCAAGATGGCTCATTTTCTGTTTTAGTCCAGATAGTATCATACTAAATTTAAAAAAAGAAAAAAAGATTTGAAGCAAAGTGGTTTTTCTTATCATGAACATAATCTGGGGGGCCTTTTATAAGTGCAAACTGGGGATTTTAACTATGTGAAAATTAATCTCCCAAAAGCTAATAAAAATGTTATTGTCGAATCATGTAAGTCACATCCTAAAGCATTCTAAAGAAGTTCCCATTTAACCCATTTGTTGATCAGTATAAACTTTCTTAAAATTTCTGTTTAAAAGATCAATCAGGGGGCGATGGGTAGCTTAGTTGGTTCAGTGTCTGACTTCTGCTCAGGTCACAATGTCACAGTTTGTGAGTTTGAGCCCCACATAAGACTGTGCTGACAGCTCACAGCCTGGAGCCTGCTTCAGATTCTGTGTCCCCTCTCTCTGATCCGCCCCCACTCATGCTGTGTTTCTGTCTCTCTCAAAAATAAACATTAAAAAAAAAAGATAAATCAGATTTTCTGGGATAATAAAAAATGTCCTATAACTTGATTATGATGGAAGTTACATAAGTTTACACATTTGTGAAAAATGCAAACTTACACCTTTAAAATAAAGTGATTCATCTATCTATCTATTTATTTATTTATTTATGAGAGAGAGAGAGAGAGAGAGAGAAAGAGCGAGAGCATGGGAGAGCACATGCACACAAGCAGGGGAGAGGGACAGGAGAAAGAGAGAAGGAGAAAGAGAGAAAGAGAGAGAGAGAGAGAGAGAGGCAGGAAGGGAGGGAAAATCTTACTCAGGCTCCACTCAGAGTGTGGAGCCCCAGGTGGGGCTCGACCCCACGACCTTGGGATCATGACCTGAGCCGAAATTAAGAGTCGGAAGCTCAAATGACTGAGACACCCAGGCACCCCAAGTGTGTTTTGTTTTTGTACTGTCTGTAGACTGGCTAAAAACACACAGTATAACAAAAGAAATCTACCAAATGTCTAGCAATTGTACAAGTATGAAAGTAAACGTACATTGTGCTAGAAAAAACTGAACACTAACACCTTAGAAATTCTCTAGTTCAATTCCTCTCCTGTCACAGATTGGGGAATTAAAGCCCACAAAGTTAGCTAGGGTCAAGCCCCTGTCCCTTAAGTATGCTCGCTTTATTTATTTATTTATTTATTTATTTAATTTTTAAAAAATTTATTTTGAATGAGAGAGCGCACAAGTGAGGGAGGGGCAGAGAGAGAGGGAGAAAGAGAATTCCAAGCAGGCTTCATGATATCAGCTGAGAGACTGACAGGGGGCTCAATCCCATGAACCATGAGATCATGACCTGAGCCGAAATCAACAGTCTGTTACTTAACTGACTGAGCCACCCAGGTACCCCTTTATTTTTTAAGTAGGCTCCATGCCCAACGTGAGGCTTGAACTCACGATCCGGAGATCAACAGTCACATGCTCTACTGACTGAGCTGGCCAGGTGCCCAAGTATGCTCTTTATAATAAGTCACACACAAAATCAAAGTTCATCCAAAGGCTTTGAGGGTTCCCATCTCAATTACACATTACACATTCATAATAATTTATTACACATTGTAATTATTACACATTTATAGTGGCTCACACAAACAGTAAAATCATCTTTAAATTATACATTTGTAGTGGTCTACACGAATAGTAAAGTCACCTTTATTAAAAATATTTTTTTAAATTATTTTTTAGAGAGAGAAAGACAGAGTGTGAGTGGGGGAGGGGCAGAGAGAGAGGGAGACAGAATCCAAGCAGGCTCCAGGCTCTGAGCTGTCAGCATAGAGCCCTACACAAGGCTCGAACCCATGGACTGCAAGATCATGACCTGAGTCCAAGTCAGACGCTTAACCAACTGAGCCACCCAGGAGCCCCAAAATCATCTTTAAATATGAAAGACAAAATGCACATTAAAACCTAGGATTAATTTATATTTTGGCCCATTTAAGCTGGAGAAAAAAAGTCATATAGACTTTAGTACAGTGAACATATTAACTATATGAATGCTAAGTAAATATTCTGGTCAGGGTAGCAATTCAAAATTAACCAATGAAAATAAAAGTTGGGCTAGAAATCCACTGTTTATTAGTTCAAAACCCAGGGACCGTCATTATATGTGGTCAGCAAATGTTTGCCAAATGAAAGAATGCGAACTCTACAACTACACTTATGCGTTACAGTACCATCTCATACAGTAACATATAGAGTGCAAAAACAGAGTACCTTAAGTGGTAGTCCAAGCTTGTGGGAATCTGAACTATCAGCAACCCAGGCATGGACTCAGAATGAAAGAAAAGAATGAAATCAAGTAGAGAGGGACACTAGAAACCTCAAGGGCTTTACTCCTTAAGCTCTTAATTAGGTGTAATAATAAGGCAGTAGGATAGAAGCAAGGACACAAAGAACAACAATGTCAAGATAGGGAGAGGAAAAACAAAGACCAGGAAAACCAGACAGACATACATTAAAAATCACCAGTGTGGGAATTCTCAATGTCAGCAAAGAGCCTTGTACATTCTCCATGGGGCTAGTTAGCCATTCTTCAAATTTTGTTTGCACACGTACTATATGCCGGATGCCATATGTGGCCAATGAGATCTAAGGGAAGACTGACAGGGTGGCTTCAAGTATAGCCTTCCCTCTTCCTGATAAAAGGGCAAGATCCAGCTGGAAATGCTTCTGTCTTCTTTCTGCCTTCAAGGGAGGAGCTTTATCTAAAAAATGTTATCAGAATGTTAACACTATCTAAAAAGTGTTATCCATCTTCTAACAAGCCTGAATATGAAAGCTGATACACTTAGGATGGCAGAAAGCAGAGGCAAAGAATCTGGGTCCTAGATGGTATCACCGAGGTTCTGAACAAATACCTGCAATCGCTGGTTTCTTTTATGTGAGAAGAATATATCCCTATTTGTTTAAAGCTCTTAGTTTGGTTAGTTACAACTAAATATATTTCTAGGTGCTATCTGTGACTCTTTTTTTTTTTTTAATTTTTTTTAACGTTTATTTATTTTTGAGACAGAGACAGAGCATGAACGGGGGAGGGTCAGAGA